ACTCACAGCTGAGAACACAGCATCACTCACAGTGAGACACAGCATCACTCACAGTGAGACACAGCATCACTCACAATGAGACACAGCATCACTCACAGTGAGACCCAGCATCACTCACAGTGAGACACAGCTTCACTCACAGTGAGACACAGCATTCACTCACAGTGAGACACAGCATCACTCACAGTAAGACACAGCGTCACTCAGAATCAGACACAGCGTCACTCACAGTGAGACACAGCGTCACTCACAGTGAGACACAGCGTCACTCACAGTGAGACACAGCATCACTTACAGTGAGACACAGCATCACTCACAGTGAGACACAGCATCACTCACAGTGAGACACAGCATCACTCACAGTGAGACACAGCATCACTCACAGTGAGACACAGCATCACTCACAGTGAGACACAGCATCACTCACATGAGACAACAGCATCACTCACAGTGAGACACAGCATCACTCACAAGTGAGACACAGCGTCACTCACAGTGAGACACAGCAGTCACTCACAGTTAGAAACAGCTCACTCAGTGAGACACAGCATCACTCACAGTGAGAAACAGCATCACAACAGTGAGACACAGCGTCACTCACAGTGAGACACAGCATCACTCACAGTGAGAGCACATAGGTGTCAGCTCTACGTGAGACACAGCATCACTTCAACAAGTGAGACACGCAGCACTCACAGTGAGACACAGCAGTCAGTCACAGTGAGACACAGCAATCACTCAGTCAGTGAGACACAGCGTCACTCACAGTGAGACAGCAGGCAGTCACTTGCAAAGTGAGACACAGAGTCACTCCAACAATGAGAACACAGCAGTCACTCACAGTGAGACAGCAGCGATCACTTGCACATGAAGACACAAGCAGTCACTCACAGTGAGACACAGCAGTCACGGCACAGTGAGACACAGCGTCACTCACAGTGAGACAGCAGCATCACTCACTTGTGAGACACAGCATCACTCACAAGTGAGAACACAGCATCACTCAAAATAGATCACAGCAGTCACTCAGTGAGACACAGCATCACTCACAGTGAGACATCAGCATCACTCATAAGTGAGACACAGTGTCACTCACAGTGAGAAACAGCATCACTCACAGTGAGACACAGCATCACTCACAGTGAGACACAGCATCACTCACAGTGAGACACAGCATCACTCACAGTGAGACACAGCATCACTCACAGTGAAACAGCATCACTCACAGTGAGACACAGCGTCACTCACAGTGAGACACAGCGTCACTCACAGTGAGACACAGCATCACTCACAGTGAGACACAGCATCACTCACAGTGAGACACAGCATCACTCACAGTGAGACACAGCATTCACTCACAGTGAGACACAGCATCACTCACAGTGAGACACAGCGTCACTCACAGTGAGACACAGCGTCACTCACAGTGAGACACAGCGTCACTCACAGTGAGACACAGCATCACTCACAGTGAGACACAGCATCACTCAGTGAGACACAGCGTCACTACAGTGAGACACAGCATCACTCACATGAGACACAGCATCACTCACAATGAGACACAGCATCACTCATAGTGAGACACAGCATCACTCAGTGAGACACAGCATCACTTACAGTGAGACACAGCGTCACTCACAGTGAGACACAGCATCACTCACAGTGAGACACAGCATCACTCACAGTGAGACACAGCATCACTCACAGTGAGACACAGCATCACTCACAGTGAGACACAGCATCACTCAGTGAGACACAGCATCACTCACAGTGAGACACAGCATCACTCACAGTGAGACACAGCATCACTCACAGTGAGACACAGCATCACTCACAGTGAAACAGCATCACTCACAGTGAGACACAGCATCACTCACAGTGAGACACAGCATCACTCAGTGAGGACACAGCAGTCACTCACAGTGGAGACACAGCGTTCACTCACAGTGGACACAGCATCACTCACAGTGAGGACACAGCAGTCACTCACAGATGAGACACAGCATCACTCACAGTGAGACACAGCGTCACTCACAGTGAGACACAGCGTCACTCACAGTGAGACACAGCATCACTCAGTGAGACACAGCGTCACTCACAGTGAGACACAGCATCACTCACAGTGAGACACAGCATCACTAACAGTGAGACACAGCATCACTCACAGTGATACACAGCGTCACTCACAATGAGAAACAGCATCAACAGTGAGACACAGGTGCTCCATGAGACACAAGCATCACTCACATTGAGACACAGGGCATCACCTCACAGTGAGGACACAGCGTCACTACAACGTGAGATACAGCATCACTCAAAGTAGGACACAGCGTCACTCACAGTGAGACAGCAGCATAACTCAGCAATGAGGACACAGCCGTCACTCACAGTGGAGGACACAGCAGTCACTCACAGTGAGGACCACAGCATCACTGAAGTGAGACACAACATCACTCACAGTTGCAGGGACACAGCATCACTCACAGCGCGGACACAGCATGTCACTACACAGTGAGGACACAGCATCATTCACAAGTGGATACCAAGCATCACTCACAGTGAGGACAACAGCATCACTCACAGTGAGACACAGCGTCACTCACAGCTGAGGACACTGCATCACTCACCAGTGAGGACATTAAACATCACTCACAGCTTGACAACAGCCTCACTCACAGTGAGGACACAGCATCCACTCACAGTGAGACACAGCATCACTCAATGAGACACAGCATCACTCACAGTGAGACACAGCATCACTCACAGTGAGACACAGCATCACTCACAATGAGACACAGCATCACTCACAGTGAGACACAGCATCACTCACAGTGAGACACAGCATCACTCACAGTGAGACACAGCGTCACTCACAGTGAGACACAGCGTCACTCACAGTGAGACACAGCATCACTCACAGTGAGACACAGCATCACTCACAGTGAGACACAGCATCACTCACAGTGAGACACAGCATCACTCACAGTGAGACACAGCATCACTCACAGTGAGACACAGTGTCACTCACAGTGAGACACAGCATCACTCACAGTGAGACACAGCATCACTCACAGTGAGACACAGCATCACTCACAGTGAGACACAGCATCACTCACAGTGAGAAACAGCATCACTCACAGTGAGACACAGCATCACTCACAGTGAGACACAGCATCAACTCAACAGTGAGACACAGCAGTCACTACAGTGAGACACAGCATCACTCACAGTGAGACACAGCATCACTCACAGTGAGACACAGCATCACTCACAGTGAGACACAGCATGACTCAGTGAGACACAGCGTCACTCACAGCGAGACACAGCATCACTCACAATGAGACACAGCGTCACTCACAGTGAGACACAGCATCACTCACAGTGAGACACAGCATCACTCAGTGAGACACAGCATCACTCACAGTGAGACACAGCATCACTGAGTGAGACACAGCGTCACTCACAGTGAGACACAGCGTCACTCACAGTGAGACACAGCATCACTCACAGTGAGACACTCACTCACAGTGAGACACTCACTCACAGTGAGACACAGCGGCACTCACAGTGAAACACAGCATCACTCTACAAGTGAGACATAGTCAGTGACTCAGTGAGACACAGCGTCACTCCACGTGAGACACAGCAGTCACTTCACAAGTGAGACACAGCATCACTTAACGTGAGACACAGAGCATCAGCTCACAGTGAGACACAGCAGCACTCACTAAGTGAGACACAGCATCACTCACAGTGAGACACAGCATCACTAACAGTGAGACACAGCATCACTCACAGTGAGACACAGCGTCACTCACAGTGAGACAGCGTCACTCACAGTGAAACACAGCATGACTCACAGTGAGACACAGCATCACTCAGTGAGACACAGCGTCACTCACAGTAAGACAGCATCACTCACAGTGAAACACAGCGTCACTTACAGTGACACACAGCTTCACTCACAGTGAGACACAGCATCACTCAGTGAGACACCGCGTCACTCACAGTGAGACAGCATCACTCACAGTGAGACACAGCATCACTCACAGTGAGACACAGCGTCACTCACAGCTAGACACAGCATCACTCACAGTGAGAAACAACATCACTCACAGTGAGACACAGCATCACTAAATGAGACACAGCATTACTCAGTGAGACACAGCATCACTCACAGTGAGACACAGCATCAATCACAGTGAGACACAGAGTCACTCACAGTGAGACACAGCGTCACTCACAGCGAGACACAGCATCACTAACAGTGAGACACAGCATCACTAACAGTGAGACACAGCATCACTCACAATGAGACACAGCATCACTCACAGTGAGACACAGCATCACTCACAGTGAGACACAGCGTCACTCACAGTGAGACACAGCATCACTCACAGTGAGACACAGCATCACTCACAGTGAGACACAGCATCACTCACAATGAGACACAGCATCACTCACAGTGAGACACAGCATCACTCACAGTGAGACACAGCGTCACTCACAGCTAGACACACAGCATCACTCACAGTGAGAAAAACATCACTCACAGTGAGACACAGCATCACTCAGTGAGACACAGCATTACTCAGTGAGACACAGCATCACTCACAGCGAGACACAGCATCACTCACAGTGAGACACAGCGTCACTCACAGTGAGACAGCGTCACTCACAGCGAGACACAGCATCACTCACAGTGAGACACAGCGTCACTCAGTGAGACACAGCATCACTCACAGTGAGACACAGCGTCACTCACAGTGAGACACAGCATCACTTACAATGAGA